CCCCCCCGCCCCCCCCCCAGCTCCCCTTCCAGGCCCCTTCCTCTTCCCCCCGCCCCCAGCACAGGGCCAGGGTCCCTCTCCTCTGTTCCTTTGCAGAGTGGCCAAGCAGACAGCCCCTTAGGGCCTCCGGGGAGCCTCACTGCCCGCAGGAGGGATGGGGGGGCAGGTGGGCAGGCAGGCCGTTGAGCCGAGGGACCAGGGTGCCCTGGCGGTGGTCTGCGTGGTGGGTTTCCATGGGGCCCGTTGGGGCAAACCCCCTCCTTGCTCTGTCTCCCCAAGAACCCTCTCACGCTCACACCCTGGCAAGTCCTAGCCTCATTTGTCCAGTTACCCAGCATCTCCAGACCTACCTTTCCAGGACTGGCCAGTGTCCTTCAGCTGAGGGAGGGCCCAGGGGTCCACATCCCCGTCTTCCGAGATGGGGGCAGAACCGGAGGTCCCTGCAGGGGTCAGGGTCAGGTAGGGCCAGGAACCTAGCTGTTTCCTGGACACCTTTAGGTGGCGGCCAAAGGGGGTGGGGGGACTGCGGCACAGGGGCTTGGGGTGAGGGACAAGAGTGGGAAGGAGGGGGGCCCCTAACTGTTCTGGCCCCTGGGCCCTCCGGGGACGGATGGGCTGGAGCCCCTCTCCCAGCTTCCCCAGAGCAATGGGTCAGGGGCCAGGTGGGTGGGCAGGGAGGCAGGCCGAGGCTCCGGGACCCCGGGGCTCCTGGTACCTGCATTTCCCAGCCTCTGGTCCACCAGGCCAACTGTGTCCAGAGTGGCAGGAGGGGCCTGGGCGCAGGTGAGGGAATTCGGCATGGATTTTGGGCAGAGACAGGCCCAGGCCCAAGTCTAGATCTGCTGCGAGGAACGGCAGTTCAGACACAGCTCCTCCCCCTTCCAGCCAGGTCTTGGGGCCCCCTGGCCTGAGACCTCACCGCTGTCCTCCCTTCCCACCCGCCGCTGGCCTTGGTAACCTTCCCCGTCCTCCGTCCGCAGGGAGATGGCTATAGTGACCTCAAGTGGCTGTCAGGTGAGCCCAGTCCAGTGTGGGGGGACCGAGTTGAGGGGGCCCTGGCTCCGTTGCTGGTCCTGGTGGGTGGCCTAGGGCGCCGGGGCGTGGCCGGAGGTGGTCGGGAGCCGCGGCCTCGGGGACCTCTCCTATCAGGTGTCACAGCCGGTCGCAGCTTAGACTCTGGCATTTGGCACCAAACAGCAACATCTCCGCTTGATAAGGGCCCCACTTCCAGTGATGGGGGGCAGGACAGGGGGCTTGGTCGCCCCCACCCCACCTCGAGGCTCCCTCCTCAGCCTGCTGGGTCTGGAGCCCCCATCGAGCCCCCTACCTCAGCTCCCAGTGCCCAAGGCCCGGGAGCTGGGGAGCCTGCTGCCACCCCTCCCTCCTGCTGCCCCCAAGCTGCTCTCTCACCCTCAGCTCCTAGAGGGGGGGGGGCGCCTAAGCCCTGGAGGTCACCCAGGCCTGACCCCAGTGTCCTGGGTCCCCACCTGGTTCTAGAATCTCCTACCTGTGTGGGTAGTGAGGGGCACCTTCGGGGAGGAGACAGGCCGGGAGCAGCTGCAGGTCAAAGATCTGCTGGGCGCACACATGACTTGTTGTGTACTGAGCCCCATTAATGTTTACCCAGGAGCCGAGGCCCCTGAGGGGTACCATTGCAGCCCCGGTACCTGCCTTGTCCAGGCCCCACTGTCACTCAGGAGTGTTGCAGGGCTGGGCAGGTGGACCTTAGTGCTGGACTTCCATGAATAGATGTCTCAGTGACACTGCCAGATGCTGCATGCTGCCTGCCCAAGGCAGGGCAGGATGCTGGGGCTCTGGCTGGCCAGCCTGGGGACCCCTTGGGAAGTCTGCCCTGAGCTCTACGGACCTCACTGTGGTTTTCCTGCCCCGGTCAGATAGCCAGAGGGAAGCCCTTTACACCAGGTAGGCGGGGAGGGCAGCAGCCCCTGAGGTCATCCAGTTCAGGTCTGGGCTTGGGGCAAGGCTGGGCCTGGCAGAGCTCCCTGCAGGCTCAGCCCCAGTGCTGGGCAGCAATGGTCACAGTCACGGGTGTCATGCCTTCATCTGCAAGGGGGAGGGCGGGCGAGGCCCCTCCCCCAGGCCACGTTGCTGCCCAGCCCACTGCCCAAGTTCACCTGGACCAGGAGACTCGGCCCATCCTGTTCTCTCTCCAGCTGAGCCCTGACCGGCCCCCTTGCTCGTGGAGTGCCTCTTATTGGGGTCAGTCCCCTTCCTGCTCCTGGGATGTAGGGAGGAAGAGCTGCCCGGCTGGGGCCAGCCCCTCCCCGTCAGGCCTGGTCTTCCTGGCCCCCTGCTTGCTGCCCACTGGTCGCTGGTGCAGGGGCACTTTGTCCCCGGGAGGGAGGAGGTTTCTGAGTGTCCTCTCAGCACATTCTCTTGTCCGTCCCTGCCGCTCACTGCCCGGTGCGGGCCCCGCGGGCCCTCCCAGGGGCTCCTTCCTGTGCGGGGGTGGGGATGCTGCAGCCCAATTGGTGGGGTCTGCGTCCACTGTCTCCAGCACATGCTCTGGTCCCTCTGAAGGGTCTGTCTGGTGGCCACGGGGAGGCAGAAGGAAGCTGAGGGCCTGGCATGGGAGCGGCTGTCCTGAGCAGCCCCTCAGGCAGGTCCCCCCACCCTGGGCCTGGACCTCCTTGGACACCTGTGGCAGCAGTGACTGTGCCTGCGGGGGACCCTCCCCAGACAGCTCCCGACACAGCGGGAGCTCAGTGAGCAGACCATCGCAGGGCTGCAGGCCAGGGGTGGAGGGAGAGGCCCTCCCTCGCTCCGGGCTCACGCCTCTGGGCCCTTCTGTAGAGGGGGGGAGAACTGCTCCAGCAGGACCGGGAACAGCCTCTGCCGGGCCCTGCCGCTCCGGCCTGCAGCCCAGTCCCCGGGGTCTGGTCCCCAGACCCTTTCGGGAGCCACCCTCTGAGCCGGGTCCGGACCTGGGCTGGGCTTGCAGGCGACTCTGACAGCAGCACCCCTCCCCTGCACACAGACCAGCGCGGGGCCTGGGAATCCTGGCTGGGATTCCAGCTCCTGCAGGGGCTTACGATACTGTGGGTACAGCTCCCAACCTTAGGTTGTGGCCCCGGGGTGAACACGCAGAGTGGCACCCGGGACACTCTGCCGCCAGGCTGTTCTGGGCAGGCGTGCCAGAGGTTCTGGGCAGGCGTGCTGCAGACCAGCCAGAGCTCAGGCCTCGGGGCTGCCCAGGGGGTCCCAGCAGAGGCCGCTGCAGCCCCAGCAGCAGCATCTCGGCTGGGGGAAGTGGGGCTGGGGGCCCAAGGCAGGGCAAAGCCTGGCCGGCTGTTGAGTGATGGCGGTGCTGCCTTTGAGGGGCGTGGGGGGCTGGGGTTCTGTGCGAGGCGGCTCCCGCTCGGCCCTGACGGCCAGGAAGGCAGCCAGGTCGAGGTCCAGCATGGCCACCCCTCCACGGGGCGTGGGTGTGCTCTGGCGGCACTGCGGGCAGGGGATCCAGTGCTGCTCGTGGGCTGGCGTGTCCAGCCGCCGCACGCACGCCTGGCAGAAGGTGTGACCGCAGTAGAGGCGGCGGGGTAGGTGCCCAGTGAGGTCATAGGCTGAGTAGCAGATGACGCAGTCACCTCGCTGGGGCCCAGCGGCTGTGCCGTCTTCGGAGGCCCGGGGAACTTCTGGCGGCAGCATCCTGGGGGAGGCATGCAGGGGGGTTGCAGCCTACCCACCCCAGGCTGCCAGTGCTTGTCCTGCATGGTTGGGGCCTCAGCACCAGAAGCCCCCCCGGAGGACAGGAGCCCAGGAGCCCAGGCCTCTGCAGACACGGGAGGGTGGGTGGTGGCCAGTGGGCCTGGTGGACACCAGGCTCTGGGCACAGCCTGGGTCCCTGTGACTGCTGCTGGGCAGCAACCTGCCCTGCTGTCTGGTCTCCCTCTGTGGCTCTCGTGTGCCATCCCAGGCCCGAACCCACCCCGGCCTGCCTGAGCCCCAGGCCTCTCTTACCTGCATCCGCTCTGCTGGGTGGCTATGTCCAGCCAGAGGGTGGCTGGGCGTAGGGGGGACCCAGGGCGCCCTGCGGCTCCCTCCTTGGGGCTCGCGTTACTGGCCTACCACGGACCAGTCAGCAGGGAGGCAGGTGGTGGCTGTGGGCAGGCGTGGGCTCCCCTTTCAGCCACAAAGAGCTTGCAACTGGATCCACCGGCACCACCAACTCATCAGGAGATAAGGGCCCCCCCCACTCTGCCTGCCCCGCCCCCTTCATGCGCAGACCCAGCTCCACTAACCCTTCACCCAGGCCTGGCTTTGCCACTCAACTTTGCCCATCTTCCCGCTTCGTCCACCCAGACCTGTGCCCACCCCACCCACACTCATACTCCACCCCCACCTCATGATGGGAAAGCTTTTTGGCTTTGACCTAGGTGATGCCTGTTCTTCAGCTCTTAGTTCAAGCGTCACCTCCTCCAGGAAGCCTGCCAGGACCCCCACCAGCTCAGAGCTCTGAGGGGTCCTTCTGCTCTGTGGCTCAAGCACAGTCACAGTGTGTGTGTCCATGTTGATTTGTCCCATTGCCTTTGTCCCTGTCTGGGCTAGGCCTGTCATGTTCCCATCACAAGCCAGCCCCATAAGGCTCCAAGGAGGCCCTCAAGCACAGGAGTGGAGATCCCCACTCATACAGAGACCACCCAGAAACTCTCTGAGGTGCAGGGCACTGTGGGCAGCTCCGGATGCCCTCCTCAGAGGCCACCTCCCACTGGCCTCTGCCTGGTCAAAGCCCTGGGGCCAGCCCAGTGACATAGCAGAATGGGGTGTGTTGGGAAGGGTGGGGTTGAGGCCAGGACCCCAGAACCCTCTCTGTCCCGCTAGAGGAAGCCAGGCCCAGAGGGTCCCCTCCTTACTCCTGCCATCCCGGCAGGCCCCCACCTCCTGGGCTGGTCAGACGGGTTTTTGGTGGCTGGCCCAGGTGGGGTCATCTTCCTGTGTGGGCCAGTCATGGGGCAGGGCCGGGAGCCTGAGCCCCGTGGAGTCAGGCCAGCGACATGCCTGCCCACGCCCAGGGACCAGTCCTGCCGTGGGGCCAGTCACCAGGGGTCGGGGGAGGGCTGGCACCAGGACACGTCCATCCTGCGGGGCCAGCTTGGCCTCCTCCGGCTCTCTCTGCCTGGTCCTGGAAACATCAGTGTGCCCGGTACTGGCCTCGCTGCTCAGTCTTCACACCGGCATCCCGGCCTCACCCCCATGCCAAACGGCTCAGCTCCCCACATGCCCCTGACACCGGTGCACTGTGCTGCTCGGACAGGTGGGGGATGGGTCTGGCCTAGCGCCTTCTCTGCCCACCTCCACGAAGCCCAGGCCCCAGAGGCAGGACAGCGGGGAGAAGCACACGGCAGATGCTCAGGAATTGGATGTTCTGTGGGAAACCAGAAAAACACCCCGGCCGAGGTAGGGCAGTGACTCACGGGTGGGCAGGCTTGGTGCTGGCCACCTGGGCTCCCACTCCTGGAAACCTGCCCACGCTGGTCCCACCCACCACTGTGCTGCCAGCACGGTCCTCCTCCTGGAGGGTTCTCTCGGGCTCTACTCCTGGTTCCAGGCACAGCATGCTCCTGCTGTCTGACCCGCAGACTCTCCTGTCTCCCAGGCTCACCCTCGGCCCCAGGGAATGCAGGGCAGCTCAAACCCAGGCCCGACCAGCCTTCCTGTCCAGCCTCTGGGCCAACCTGAGAGTGCAGTGCAGGTTAGGTTGTCATGAGGCTGCCCCACCCCAGAATGTCCCATAGCGGCTGTTAGCCTATGGTGGCATCTAGCCTGGGACCCTCCCGTAGCAGGTAGCAGCAAAGAAGAGTGGCCGGGACGAAGCTCGCTCTGCTTTACTGCCTGGCCCTGGGCCTTGAAGAGGTGGTCAAGGGTGTCCCCGGGGCTGCCATTATGGCTAGCGCCCAGGGCTCTGTTTCAGGGGCGGGGGCTGAGCTGTCAGCCTTCTCAGTGGGTAGGTGCCGCTGTCCAGGGTGGGGAGCGGCCAACACCCATGACAACAGGCCAGTGGCTGTTCCAACTGTCCAGGCACTGCTGTGGCCACCTGAGCAGAGGCCCGGGCTTGCCGTGTGGGGGCGCCCCGCAGCAGGCCCTGCGGCCCAGGGGCCAGGCTAGGAAATGACACAGCACCAGCAGTGACGGGCAATGTCGCCGCCACGCCCCATCGGCGGCAGGCCAGCGTAGGTCAGTCCTGCCTGGCACTGCCCACTGCCATAAGGGGTGCAGGGCTGCTGCCAGGCCTGCTGGCCCTGGATGGAGGCAGCCCCCTTGGCATTCTTGGGCCCTGGGGCCTCCTCGGTAGGCTCCAGGGTGCAGGACCCCACGGGCAGAGGCTGCGACTCCAAGGAGGATGGAGCCGCCTCCAGCTGCTACCCCAGCTCGGGCCGCAGGTGAGCCCTCGGGATGCTGACATGGGCATATGGGTCCTTGACGAGCATCTCAGGGGGGTCCATGGCTTGGCCTGGCAGGGGTGGGCAGAGGAGACAAAATCAGCTCAGTGGAGGGGAACCCAAGAAAAGCCAGGCTGTGGAAGCGCCTGAGTGTGTATGTGAGGCCTATGTGTCAGTGCGTGTGCAAGGTAGCGGAGCGTAGGGAGAGTGAGGGCCAGTGTCTCCTAGCTGCCCCCGCCCTCCCAGAGAGACAGGGCCCTGTGACGGAGCTGGGAGTGGGGTGGGGGGCTGGGATATGCAGCTAAGCTTGTCCTACAGGGGGTGCGGAAGCCCCTCAGCCCAGGACCCACCTGAAGTGGTGACGGCAGCAAGCTGTCTTGTTCTCTGGGCCAGGTCCCAGTGCCTGTGAGCTGAGCGACTGGCAGCTGCCTTTTCCCTCCTGGGGAGGGGCGGGGCTGTGGGCAGGGCTCAAAGATGGGGTTCCCAGGATCCCAGGAGGCCCCAGCTCCTGGAGCACAGCGGCCACCCACCGTTCCTTTTTTGGATGGGCGTTGACTGCGGCCTGGCCTCCCAGGGACATTGCTAGCCTGGGTGATTCAGCCTCAACGCATCTGGGGCATGTCCTGGCCCTCCAGGGACATGCAGCTCACCAGAACGCAGGACAGGAGGCGAGTCTGGGGTCAGGCCTGCAGGTGGTCTGGGGGCCCAGCCATTACTCACACGTCTCAGAGCCTCTGCTTTGAAGGAGAGGGCAGAGGTCCTCACTGTGACCCAAGCCACTACCCCGCAGGCAGAGACCAAGATGTTTGCGAACACACGGCTTGGAGGTTTGCTGGTTTTTTTAGCTGATAAGAAATGCTTGGTTTACACACCCTTGCCGATAAAACTTACTTATCTTACGATTGGCGACATGGGTTTCATACACAAGTGACGTTTCTAGCTCATTTCTGAAACTACAGTTTCCCTCTGGTTGGTGGCCTCGTGGGCCACAAGCCCCTGATCCCTCAGGGTCCCCATCCTTGGCCCTTGCATCCCATCTGTGAGGTGGCACATAGCACCTGCCATACAGGGTCGCTGTATGTGGGGGGGG